GGTGATTCAATATAAAAAGACAAACAATTTTGCATACAACGGGTACTGAACAAAACAAGAAAGGTTACAAATGATAATGCAAATTAAATTAGAAATTGCCATGCTCAGGAGACTTCTTCAGCCTTAGCTCATTTGAGGAGACGCTCTTGCAGTCTTGACACCTATCTCAGCAAGGGGGTTCAATCCATTATCAGACCCTTTGGAGTGAACGTGATAACTTTGGCATCAAGGAGGTTTTGAACGTTGTTTTTTAATGCCCTACAATTCTCTATTGTGTGGCCTGGAGCCCCTGAATGGAATTCACAACGAGCACTGATGTCATACCCTTGTGGGAGAGGATTTCGTGTTGGACCAAGTTCACGCAGTTGAACCAACTGATTGGCAAACAATTGAGGGAAAAGTTGAGCATAAGACATGGGAATGGGATCCACCCTCCTTTCAATAACTTTCTTCCTCTTTCATCCTTGTTACCCCTGGGGTTGATGACTCAGCTGAAAAGACCCAGATCATGCTCGTTGAACATACAATTGTCTCTGTGTGTACTGATGTTGATGATGGATTGACTGATGCTGAGTCACCCGCGGTTGTTGAGCTGAGATTGTAGCACATGCTCGAGGAACATTAGGATGAACAAACGATGTTTGACGGTGCAGAGCTTGATCTTGATGATGGACCGGGGCCTTTCCTTTGTTGATAGTAACACTAGTCTCTCCTTCTTTCTTCTTGAGGAGGCCAAAACAAGGTTTCTTGTTACTTCCATTGATAGCGTTAGATGTACCTTGAATTTTTCCTGACTTGAGGCCATCTTCAATACATTCCCCGATGGTAACCAAGTTCAAAAAAGAGGTCGAAATACCACCGAGTATATGTTGGAGATATGGGTCTTGCAGGGTGCCCACGAACAAATAAGTCAATTCACGATCCAGGAGAGGAGGTTGGACCCTTGCAACCAGTTCACGCCACCTCTGAGCGTATTCTTTGAAAGACTCTTCAGATTTTTGTACCATCCCTTGAAGCTGAGTACGACTAGGAGTCATGGCAGTATTGTAATGGTAATGTTTCAAAAAAGCGTCAGCAAGCTTTCCCCAAGTACTGACATGAGATCTTTCCAATTGCATATACCAATCCAACGATGCCCCGGTCAAACTGTCTTGAAAGAAATGCATGAGCAAAGGTTCATTTTCAGCATAAGCCGCCATTTTGCGACAATAGGAACGAAGATGAGTCTCTGGGCAAGAAGTGCCTTTGTATTTGTCAAACTCTGGGACTTTGAAATTGGGAGGAATAACTACCCCAAGAACGAGGCACATTACAACAGTATTGAATCCGGAAGTCTTGATACCCTCCATGGCTCCAAGTCGCTCTTCGAGAGCATGATACATTTTCGCAGTTTTGGCAACCCTAGCAGCAAGGTTAACTTGGGGTTAATCAAGATCAATAACATCATGATGATCGTCGACATCATTCCTAGGAGCACGGTAGGAGTCTCAACATTTGCATTGTCATTTCTCTCATTAGAAGAAGTGGAAGGAGCAGCAGTAGTAAGCTTGGCAACACTTTGGTGTAGTTCTTCTTGACCCTTGATCACGGGATGAAGAGTTTCCAAGAGTTGATCCAGGCGAGTACCCATAGTGTCCATATCCCGACGGAGTGCATTCTGATTCTCTTTAAAAAGATCCATTAGCCTTTGTTGGTTGCCTCTGGTACGGTAAGGATGTGGATGAGTCGTCTTTGCTGTTTACTGGATTCTGAGAAAGGGGACCCCAATGAGTTTTGTTGTGAAAAATGAATGCATGGTAGTATGGATGAATGATTTATCTTCATTTCTGAGGAGACCCAAAGACTCGTTTATCTTTTTAAAATTTCCTTTTTTGAAAAGCTATATTAACAAGACTTGTCTTTGGATTTCTCTAGATATGAGATATATATACATGATGATATGATGTCATGGTATGCTATGGCATGAAGTCTCAGCTCCACATATCCTGGATAACCATTGCGTAGTCCGTTGCACAGGCTGAAAGTAACAGGATCAAAAGTTCGACGTCACAGGCATGAAGTCAAAGCGACCATCCACGAGGTATGTACTAGGGTTTTTTCACCTGTCGAACAAGGTTCTAAAGATTTCTCGAAGTCTACGCTCTTCCTTTGGATATTATCGATGTCCCAATTACTTGGTAATCAGTAATATTCGCAGGAAAAACTCGTCCGAGTGCAATATCGCGTGACAACTACTTCCGGATTACTCCGTTACAGTCTCTGCATTGCACCTAAAAGGCCAGGATGGGTTAATGGTTCTACGGCCCTCAGCTTCTCGAGCTCCCAGGTCGAAAGCAATGACGTCCTCCCGATTACTCGGTAAACATCACTACTTTCAAGGGGACCTCCACTGAGTGGGGGATTTTCATGCCTCCTTCTTCGGAATTACTCCCTCAAAGTTAACATGACTATACCGCCCGTCCTAATCCTATGTGTAACCCAAGTCCGGGTAGAGGACTTATCAAAAGTAATCACCAAACCCAATCATCACAATGTATCCAGAATATGTGAGTGGCAACAAATATATGCAATATACACAAAAGAATAGAATAAAGAAAGAAATAAAACAGTAAAGCAAGATAAAGCAAATAAATAAACACCCAAAAAGACAAATAAACAAAACTAGGAGAGACTCTCTAAAGGTCCCCAGCAGAGTCGCCAACTGAAGCTACCGGCAGAAAACACAGAGTCGCCACCGAACTTTATTTATCCTGAAGGAAGGGGAAATATCGATAAAACCACAAGGGAATGGATAAGATGGTCTTGCGACCAAGAGAAAGGGTAAGGGAGTCGGTTATGCAAGGGGAAGGTATTAGCACCCCTCACATCTGTTGTACTCAACGGGGTCCATTTTGTTTGCTTGTCTTAAAGGGTGTATTTATCTACAACTATGTTTGCTTAAAGGGGAATGAATGGTTTTTATTATTGCGTTCGTGAGGGTTTCGTGACCCTTTGCCTACGTATCCAATGAAGGAATCAGAACATCGTAGTTCCTCTAGTAAACTGTTGGTTTATTTGTGTTTTTAGTGGGTGACGTTAACGCACACATTCTAGCAATAGGCACGGCCGGTATCGCGGTAGAACGGAGATGACATGCCCTTTAGGGGAGTTTTGATTGGTTGAGTGTTTTTGCGAGTTTTAAAATAAATTCAAGTAATGATTAAAGAGTGTTTTTGGATTTTTGGTTTGTTTGGTCAAAATGAGTGTGAATGAGATTTCGAAGATACGACCACCTAGTGTCGAAGTTTTGACTTAAAAGGTGTGAGTTTTAAAATTACAGAGATATTTAAATACAAATAAAAGAGAATGTAACTAATTATCTAAAGAAGTTATTTGAACTAAATTAAAAATTTAAGATTACTTACTAAAATAATTCTAAACTAACTACAAATTCTAAGGTTGTAAAAATAGTTCTAAAATTACTAAATTAGATCTAAACTAAATTAAAATTTTAAAATTAGTAAATTAAATCTAAACTAAATTAAAATTTTAAAATTAGTAAATTAAATCTAAACTAAATTAAAATTTTAAAATTAGTAAATTAAATCTAAACTAAATTAAAATTCCAAGGTTGCTAAATTAAATCTAAAACAAATAAAAGTTCCAAAGTTATTAAACTAAATCTAAATCAAATAAAATTCTAAAACTACTAAATTAAATCTAAATCAAATACAAATTCTAAAGTTATTAAACTAAATCTAAATCGAATAAAAATTCTATAATTATTAAATTAAATCTAAATCAAAATGAAAATGCTAAAGTTACTAATTCTAAATCAAATAAAAATTCTAAAGTTATTAAAATAATTCTAAATCAAATAAAATTCTAAAAATTGCTAAGCTAAATCTAAATCAAATAAAAATTCAAAAGCTATTAAATTAAATCTAAATAAAATAAAAATTCTAAACCTATTAACTTAAATCTAAATCAAATGAAAATTCTAAAGTTACTAATTATGATTCTAAACATTTTAAAGTTATAAAATAAATCTAAACTAATTAAAGAATTCTAAATTAATACTAAACTAAATTAATTTATAAGATTTACTAATATTTTTTTTTTTAGGAAATAAGGTTAAAGAGTTAACAAAATCTAAACTAATTAAAGAATTTTAAATTAATACTACACTAAATTAATTGTAAGATTTACTAATATTATTGACTAAGATAATACTAAAATAAACCACAAGATACTACATTATTTTTAAAACTAACAAAAAAATGATTGAAATCATCTAAAATTAGCTAATTGAAATACTAAAATTATTTTAGAAAATATAAACATGAAACCAAAATCAACATAGAAGAGATTAATAAAAATAAAGTAAATGAAATTAGGACCCAATGCAAGTCAAGCTCAAGCTATAAAATCTTAATTAATTATAAAGAAAGAATAAAAAAAACAGTAAATAACTATTAATTAAAAAAAATAACAAAAATAAATATATAACAAGAAGATAAAAAAGAGGGAGTAGTGATCGTAACCTCCCTCATTATTCTCTTAAGTTAGTTTTTTTTATTTCAATTTAATAAAAAAAATAAAAAAAATGGTTGGACTTTGAATGGATCGGGTCGGACTGATTGGGTAAAGGCCCAAATAAAATTTGTAACAAAGGAAAACAAAACCCTAATATCAAAAGGGATCAGCCGCTGCATCTTGTTGGGAATTGGTCAACAATAATAATTTAATATTTTCAATTAATACTATTAAAATTCCATTAAACAAATAAAACTCTTTCTCAAATCTCGCGTTCTATTTTTGGTTTCATCTCTCTCTGCTTTCACTATTTTTTTTCTCAATCGAATAATCATCATCATCTATCATCTCTTTTCTCACAACCTTTCAATAGATCTAGAGCGGTGACCGGTCGGTGTTTTTAGCTGAATTGCCGGTACAGGGAATACGTCGAGGGCTGTTGTTGTTGTGTTAAGGTTTCTTATTTTATTTTGAAGGTGTAGTGCATGTGGAATAAGAATGGAGTAGTAAGTGTAGAACCGAAAATGGAGATGAATAGTAGTAGACGAGGTGATGTTTTTTTTTATGGAGGTGTTGGCATAATTTCTATACTACTTCCTTCTAATTTTCTCCTCAGTAATTTTTGTGTTTTTACTTGTTTCTCTGTATTTTTCATATTGTTTCCTTTTTTACTATAACACTAGCATCAACGTTTCTGTTTTTCTTACTCTCTGTTTTTCTGATTTGCCACATGCTTGTGATTTCCCTTTCACTTTCACCGCAAAACAACAAAAAGAAAACTCATCATCTCTCTTGGTAATAATAACAACAACGTTTCAAATTCAGCATAGAAGAACAACAATTAACATCTCAGTTAATGAATAGAAACAAATAACTTAATTCAGGCTATTTGGTTCTGAACATCAAGCAAACAACAATAGCAATCAATAGAGAAAAAACGAGTGAAGGAGAATGAATGTTACCGAATCGGAACTCCTTCGACGGGTCTTAGATCTTCCAGGTATTGTGTATGATGTTCTTTCCTTTACTCTGCATTCAAAATTTGTGATGTTGTGATTTGCAGGAATTTAAAATGTAATGTTGCAGATCTGTTGAAGTTTGCACTGATGATGATTGAACTCAAAGAGTGAAGATATCTTGATGTTGTAATACGTTTGAATCCAGTATTGTATGTTGCAGCAAGACAAGTTCTTGCATTGAAGAAGAGTTACATATTGAATGGTGTGTACTGTGAAAGATGAGTTTTATTACAATTCTAACAGAAATTTTTGAGCCCTCTCTCCTCTCTCTTGCTTCTGTTTTTTTTATAGTGAATGTATGATAGAATCAGAGGGAAAATTTGGTGAGTTTGAACATACGTAATACCCTGTTTTCGACATTTTTTGATGCAGTTTCTTGCCCTTCTATTTTGGTGTAATGTTTGTCTTGATATAATGCAGATTTTGGACTCTTCTTGATAGCAAAGGTCAACAGTGCATATGGCAGAATTTTGGACTGGTGTTCACAGGTTTTTGGACTGTTATCTTGCAGGTTCTTGGTTGTGGAAATAGGGCAGCAGTAACACAGCAGCAAGGCTGAATTTTTGGACTGATTCTTTCGGCATATTGCAACATATCATTGGTTTCTCCTTGGACAGATTTGGCAAGAGTTGAAGCAAATTGGACAGTTGTGTTTGGATGTGCAGTATGGAAATGACAAGAGATAGGATAAAATTGTTGTTGTAAACTGTGACCCTCCTCCAACTTTATATTTTCTTTCTTTTTGGATAAAACAAAATTAACAACAAGAAAAATAGTAATAATAATTAACCAAAAAAAGAGGAAATTGTTAGTGACAACTAAACTAAAAGTACAAAAAATGAAAATAAGAGACAAAAAAAAATTGTGTTTAGTAATGATAATAATTCAATTTAAGAAATTGAATTAATATTAGAACTAAATCAAAATTAAAAAGGAACTAAAATTATAATGACTAAAGAAATAAAATGTAAATAAAATAAAATGGTATTAACTATATATTTTTTCTTTGAGATTTTCTGAATGTAAAATACAACTAAAATAAAGATGACGCTAATCACATATATTTTTTTGGATTTTTTCAAATAAAGTGATACAAACATATAAATTTAAATAGAATTAATAAAAGACCATATTTTTTTATATTTTTCTTTTGAATAAAGTAAAAATAGTAAATAAAAAATGACATGATGCTAAGTGCTCTTTTTTTGATATTTTTTTAATGGAAAAGAAATCATGAATAAAACACAATAAAAATTAAATTTTCCTAAATTCATAAAACAATTTCTAACGTTTCTATTTTTTTTTTTTGGCTTTTCAAAGGATAATCAACTCTTGACTTATAAAGAAAAATTGTAGATAATGTCAAGGAGAATCATATGCAAAAACAATCGCTCAAAAATGTCGAAATTTGAAGAAGTTATGAATTTTTAAAATCTGCTTTGAAAATTGATAAAAAAAAATAGGTCAAATCGCTTGTGAACACTTGCAATGTAATGATGCAGATGGGAGGTGATATCTTAGGTCAAAATTGGGATATGACACCTACAACTTTGTGGATTATGGTTATAGGATTGTGCTTTGTTTATCTTCAAGCAACACTTTATTTTCCCAGAGAAGTTAATCCTTGAAGTAGAACGTTGTTTCCTTAGTTGGTTGCTTAATCTCTAATGGAATTTCCACCTTAGAGGAGATTTAGTCGAGTGCAGTCTATTCCTCGAGTTTGGTTTTGTCTGGTTATCCCCAGTGTTGTATGTCTATTTTGTCACCATGTACATGATATCATTCATACATTCATACATACATCATGCATGCCAGAGTTAAAGTTCATTGCTTATTTGCATTCATTGATGTTTATGTTGATATTTTATCCTCTTTGCAGAGTGTGTATCCTCTCTCCAATAAAATGTCAACCTTAAGCAGAAAGTGTATATCCTTTAAATTTCTCCACTGAGTTATCCCTCGTGGGAGATTTTTGCTTTATCCTTCCTACCCAGCTCATTACTTGGATGGAATTGATCTTCATTTGAGTTTATTCCTCATTTGGTGGTGTCTTGGTTGACATTTTCAATCCGATTTGTTCTTGGTTTAAATCCTTGTCCCTAGAGGCAGTGTTATTTTGATCTCTCTAGGCATCAAACCTAGATTAAGGGTGCATTTATTTTGCACATGAATACTCTATCTCCACAGCAGGAATGGGTTTACATTTCCCCAGGAAGTAAATTTATTTCCCAAGCAATGTTATTACCATACTTTTCATAATGGCGAATGGCAGTTTGAGCAGTCTGTTGGTTCCCACAGAAGGTTTATTTTTACCCCGATGGATAGTGGTCTCTTTTTATGAGATATAGTTTGTTGTTGAGGTTTGATTTTACTCCGATGGATGGTGGTCTCTTTGTTATGAGAGATAGTTCGTTGTTGAGGTTTGATTTTACTCCAATGGACAATAGTCTCTTCGTTATGAGAGATAGTTTGTTGTTGAGGTTTGATTTTACTCTGATGGATGGTGGTCTCTTCATTATGAGAAATAGTTTGTTGTTGAGGTTTGATTTACTCCGATGGATGGCATTCTCGTCGTTATGGGAGATAGTTCATTTTTGAGATTGTAGCGGTAGAAATGTTGAGACTAAGCATTGGATTAACTTAACTCGCACAGATCAAATTAAAATCGTGTTCGCGCTTAATTGTTTCCAGAGGAATGGGAAAAGAGAGAATAACCCAAAAAAGAGGGGGAGTGAATATAGGTACGGGGTTGGTTATGCAAAGGTAAGGTATTAGCACCGTAAACATCTACGGTACTCCACAGGAACCCCTTTAAAAATTTGTGTATTTTGGCTATGAATGTTGTATACAAAAGATAGATGGTGGGGATGAGAAAAGAAGTATTTTTTACAATTTTTCACACGCCGTGGTTATAAACCTTTAGTGCCTACATACCACCTTCTGTGCAACAGGGAATTAGGGTACTCGTAGTTCACCTTAAAAAATTTTTAAAATACAAGTGTGTTGGTTAATTTTAAGAGACGGGACATCATCTTCATATCCGAGTGGAAGAACTTACTTACTATCCACGGTCATGAGAAAGAAGAATTTTCATCATCTCAAAGTGGAGGATATGGCTTGGTTTTAAAATCAACAAAGCCTCACTCAATACCCAAGTGGAAAATATCTCACTTCACTACATATTTAAGAAGTATTGTAGCTTGCATCACTACAAGAGTCGACAAGAGTCTAATCTTTTGAGAAAAGCGTTTTAAAGTAAAAAGCCAAAGTGGCAAAAATGGTTTGAATGAGGTTGATTGACTTTTAGCCTTCTCACAAAGAAAATGTCAAAGTATGATTAGGTTGGTTAAAGTTTGATTAATAAAATATTTTTTGAAAATGCATGGACCTAAGTCCAAGTTTATTATGAAAACGGTTCAAGTTAGAAAACAAGACGAGTTTTGAAAAGAAGGGAGAAGATTTTTGAAATTAAAGAAGATGGGAGGAATGAAGGGATTACCCTAAAGCATAAAGTAAAAGCTAAGGAAAAGAATGATCTAACCAACAAGAATCCAACACTTGACATAAAGAGTCAATGTAGAATTCACATTCTTTGGATTGAAACCAAGTAAGTAAAGATACTAAACCTCTTAAGAATACAAAGCTTCTAACACGTTAAGTTTTCTCAAAAATTGGGCAGAGTAAAAGCTGTATACAGAGGAATTCTCAATCACAGACAAAGCATATAATCAGAATAACCTGCACACAAAGAAAATCAACCCATTGTCTTAGGTTAAACCCCAAGAACTCCGTACAAAATAACAACAGAGTCACAAGGTCCAAAGGGTACTCAATGCTTAGAATCCTAAGTCCAAGAGGTCCACAAATCCATAATGCCAAGGATAGTAACCAAATAGTCCAAGTACCCTTAAAGTTTTTCAAGTTGGTTATTAAGTATCTTCAAAAAGAAAATGAAACCTCAAGTGAGCAAAGATGAAAAAAAGCATAAAATGTAAATGATAAGGTAAATGGTGCATAAAAGTAAAGGCATAAAGTAAAGGGAATAAAGTAAAAGCACAAAGTAAAATCACAAAAATAAGGTCAATTGTTAATGAATTAGAAGTTAGAGGTTAGTTGAATGACCATCTTGAAACTTTCATTTGAAAACTCATCAGAAGATTAATAAAATCAAAGCTTGTCAACAATAAGTCTCATTTTCTTTTTGTCAAGTATATCATTCATTTCAATTTCTCGAGGCAAGCATATATGATCAACGGTGTTTAAATGATTCACTTAGACCAAAGTTCATGGAAGTTCATTAGAGGATTGATAAGATCAAAGCCTCCTAGCAATGAACCTCAAGGTTATTGGATCAAAGGTTTCAAATTAAACATACTTGGGCTTGCAAACATAGGTTTAGGCCATGAACAATCATTTCTTAAATTGGGACAAATTTAGCGCTATGTTAAGCAATCGTAAGTGGACTTATGTAGAAGTCACACCTATTTTGAGGTCGGTCAATAGAAATCTATGTATAACATGTTAGAGAAATGATATGTAGATTATTCTCCAACAAAATGTAGCCCAAGTAAGAAGGGGATAAGATGAAGAGGCAGGGCAGGGGGTGTAGCACATGAAATTAGGGTTTCAATATCATCAACATCATTCATCCATTTTGGTGGATTTAGTTTTTCCACCTATCAACACCCAAGATCTAATGAGGTTGAGTAATTTGTCCCAATAGAACACCTAAGTCAGTAGCATATAAGTTCCAACAAACCACATTGAAATATTGGACTCAAGGTTCCCATCAATAATCAACGCATATCGTACATGCACTTAAATCAAACAAAGTGTATATGTGAAGTAGGAAGAAGTGTATGAGGGTTAAACATGGTATGAGGTGTCAAACAAGAGTGAATTCAGAAGCACACACATCATGTTATTATACCTTAAATCCTTTAAGTGAAACATGTTCAAGCTTCACACACAATACAAGTGAAATCAATGTACAAACTTCAAACAAAAGGGTCATAAAAGGCATTCAAAGCTTGATAGAGAAAATGATGTTAGAAGTAGGATAAAGATGGGGGAAATGGAACACAATAGAACCAATTAATTAGAATATTCCATGCCAAAATTTAGCCTATAAATATGCACACAAGTTCTCAAATTCAAACTTTTTGATCAAGGCAAAACCCTAAGCACACTGCTAAGTCAAAATTAGGTTAAAAATAGGAAAATGACTTGTAAATTCATGCTAATTAAATCCTAACTTCCTAAAGACCAATAAAAGTCAGAAACATCATTTTAAGTTCTTGGATTAACTTGTAAAGGTGATAATGTATGGAAATCATCAAGACTAGTTGGCAAAGGGCTCAAACTAAAGAGGTTTGACAAAATTATTTCAGAGAAAATGTAAAGTCAGGGATAAAAATCCAACAAAATATTTTTTGTAACCTTGAATCATCCAAGAACATCAAACACATTTTTCTTGATTTTTAGAAGTGAAGGAAGTTAAAGGTTTAATTGTTTCTTTATGCTTAAGCAAGAGAAGGCCTCAAAAACAACAATTAACTTCTAAAATTTTGAAAAAAAAATAAGGAAACTGATATGTAAACTCAATTAAAAATAAAAAAAATTAGTTAAATACCTAAGACTCAGTGAGTATATTTTTCTTGGATTTTATATCAAAGGGAAGAATTAAAAAAAAATTATTTACACAATATATAAAAAAATAAAGAAAAATGACATAACCAATCAATTGATTTAATTAGCATACCACGAATTTT